CTTCTAGGAAGGCTTCCCTGAATGGGTCTAAGTTTGACACCTCTCCTCAGAACTCCAATGGATTCATTTACTTTTTTACCTGTGAGTTCCTTGCACTGTGAGTTAATTTCCTGATTCCCTTATTTAAAGTATGGGAGGCTGGTATTATGTCTGACACATAGTAGGTCCTCAATAAATATTCCTTGAAGTAGAAAATGGATTATTGAAAGTCATGCTATTTTCATTTATGCAGCGAAAAATCACACAATATCACTTTCAACTGTGAGTAGGAAATTGTATTTCTGAGGAAGAGCATACAATTTATTTTTAATATGTTTTTATTGATTTCTTTTTTTTTTTTTTTTTTTTTTAGAGAGAGATAGAAACATTGATGTGAGAGAGAAACATCAATCAGCTGCCTCCTACATGCCCCCTACTGTGGATCAAACCCACAACCAGGGCATGTGCCCTGACCAGGAATCAAACCTTGACCCCAGTCCATAAGATGATGCTCAATCCACTGAGCCACACAGGCCAGGCAGAGCATGCAACTTAAATTACAGGCAAATAAGAAGCTTCTCAGAGGACATCATCTGAACAACAATGAGGAGAGCTTGCCAGACAGAGTGGAGAGCTGGAGTGTCCTAGGAATGTGAGGTTGGTATGATGGGAAGAAACCAGGAGATGGGAGACTCTGAGAAGAACATTATACTTTATTATGGAAACAACAGGGAGCCATTAAAAGATGTAAAGCATAAGAGAAACATTGGAGTTACATGTTAGAAAGTTTAAGTGTGGAAAATTGATTAAAGAAGAGATAGAAAGCAGGGAGGAACAGTTAGTAGTCTAAGGCAATTATTCAGGTAAATTCAAAAGACATGGAATTAGCCCTGGCCAGTTTGGCTCAGCGGTTAGAGCATCGACCTGCGGTCCGGAGAGACCCGGGTTCGGTTCCCGCTAAGGGCATGTACCTCGGTTGCAGTTTGTCCCCGGCCCCTGGTTGGTCGTGCGGGTGGCAGCCACTTGATGTGTCCCTTTCACATCGATGTTTCCCTCTCTCTCTCTTCCTCTCTCTCCCTCCCACTCTATCTGTACAAAAAATGGAAAAATGTCCTCGAGTGAGGATAAAAAAAAGACATGGAATTAGAATTGACAGGATTTATTAACTGACTGGACGTAAGGGAGGGGCCACTGGAATGGCTCTCAGAACTATTGCTCCATATCCTTTTGTGGATGGTGGTGCCACGTGAAAATATAGTTACATTAAAAATGGCGTGGAAATAGGAAATGCTGCTACACTGTTGGTTAGGAATACACAGAGTAAACTACTTTGCAGGATATTTTGGCAATTCCTATCAGACTTTAAAATGTATAACATTTTTAGGAGTCTTTTCTTTAGAAATGATAACAAATGTATACAAACACATATGGTTTAAAAATGTTCACTATAACATTTGTAATACTAAAATTTTGGTAAAAATTCTTATGCCCATCATTAATGGAACAGCTAAATTTAAAACTTGACAGTTATAAAAATAATCACAGGAATGTAAAGTACAGCATAGGGAATATAGTCAACAATACTGTAACAACCATGTACGGTGTCAAATGGGTACCGTACTTATTGGAGTGACCAATTTGTAAAGTATATAATGTCAAACGAATATGTTGTTCACTTGAAACTAATATAATATTGCATGTCATTTGAAATTTAAAAATAAATTAACTTTTTAAAAATTAAAAATATATAGTTAAATTCATTTTTAAGGACTTTTAAGAATTTAATCATGTATTTTGAGCTAATTAGAGATGTTTTGTAATGTAAAAGGGATGATGTTTTGACAGAGGTGATTATGACACTGGTACCCATTTGCTATGAACTAGTCATGAAATATGATTCTTTTGGATTATGCTATAGATTCTCTTTGTGATCCCAAAGAGTTACTTAAACTTTCTGAACCTCAGTCTTGCAAACTCTTCCATACAAATAAGAGAAAAAATATGCCTCTTAGATAATTCAAGAAAGCAATTCAAAAGTAAATTTGTCAATGTGGTAATTTCTGTTTCTGAAAGGCAAAATGAAATACAATCTCAATTTCTAGCTCTATTAATTGTTTTTAAAGGAGAAGGCTTATATGATTTCAAATGGCCCTTTCAGCTCTAAAGATCAATAACTCCCTAAGTCAGAACACTTGGCTGGAGCTACATTCTACCCAGATCAGTGGCTGATCCTCAACAAGAACCAAGGGATTTATGTGGAGGTAGGTTGTCCTATTTAAACACTTCCTGCTGAGAGTAGTACTTCCTTTTATTTGTCTTAATGGTCTTCTGTTCTTTATCATGCTACTTTTTAATATGATGTTTTCATTTATTTAGCCAACATTTATTGAATGCCTACTATGTGCCAGGCACCACACTGGGTGCTGGAGAAACAAAATTAAATATAAGACATGCTCCCTTTTGTTACATTTTTTTTTAACTATAAACCATATTCAAGCCAAAATACATCATCTTATAAAGTAATATTTATCATGTACATGATCCTGCTCTAGGAACCATGCCAGGCTACCCCATTAAACTTGATGGGCCTGAGAATAGTAAAACTATACACTGCATAATGTATTTATAGTATATAGCAAGGCAACAAGGTCCCCTGAGAAGGGAAGGCAGGAAAACTGAAAAATCATTGTGCATGCACTTGGAACCCAGAACATTTGCAAACTCCCTGACTACTTTGTGACTCCATTTCTTTATCTACAAAATGAAGATAATAAGGCCTAATTCTAACATTCCTAACAAATAAGTAAAAATACATTGAATACTTTGAGCTTGGGAAAAAAAAAAGCACTAAATAAATATTAGATATTGTTGTTTGGTAGCATTACATAAAATCACATTAAAGTCAAAAGCCTGCTGAGGTTACTCTAATGGAAGCTTAAATCCCAAGATGAAAGTGATGTAAGTGGAATAATTAAAATCAGGACACACCCCTCATCGGATCTAGTTAGACACTAAAATTAAAACTGAACCTAGCTGTATGACTGAAAGAGGGTTCCTCACACAGCACAGAACTTACAAGATGTCCAATTTGTGTCTCTAAAGTTGGGAAGGCAAGCATGAGCTCTACGTGGGTTGACCACTCTTGGATTTTAAAAATGAATCTGTACCTGGTTGCAGTTTTCAGAGAGAAACCCCAACTGGTGGACATGCCTCCATTGAGGATCATGCTACCAGCTCTCCAGTACCCAAACAAGGGCATTCCATGCCAGGTATTTGATGCGTATCAGCTTCAACAGCAGAACCATTTGTTCATTTTGAGAGGTCAGCTGTAATAAAGCTCATTTGTCTTTGCTCAAAAACTTTACTTAGGTTTTGTCCAAACGTCTCATTATCAAATATCTAGGCTCTTGAAGAAGACAATTTGTCTCGAAATTTTTCTTGCCAAGCTACTCAAAGCTAAAGCAGACACCCAATGGAGAAGCTAAACTTATTAAACCTCCACATGAGAACTATCTCTAAGCTCAGCAAGAGGAATCAAGAAACTGTTCAGGCCCAGCCAGTGTGGCTCAGTGGTTGAGCATCGACCCACATGTCAAAAGGTCATCGGTTCTATTACCGCTCAGGGCACATGCCCAAGTAGTGGGCCCGATCCCCAGTGGGGGGCAGGCAGGAGGTGGCCAAGCGATGTTCTCTCTCTCCCTCTCCCTTCCTCTCTCTCGAAAATTAATAAAGAAAAACAATTTTTAAAAAAGAAAAAGAAACAGAAAGAAACTGTGTAGTCCCCTCCTCGAGTCCCTAGATGGAAAGCTTCCCTGATTAGGGAAGTAACACACTTCTTAGCAATATGGAGGTATTTCTTTCTTTCTGCTCCTGCACTGTAGATATGAGGTTAACAAGGAGCAGAGCAATGTCTCCTCTTTCTTTTCACCTCACCCACAGCAATTTTTTTAGTTACTGAAAGAGGGAGTCAATAATAAAGATGGGCGAGGAGATTTTTGGATCCCAAGAATCCAGCACCATAAGGTTCTCTGATGCTAAACATGGCCGAAGGTTGAAAGCAAACCCCAGGAACAGCTTTCGACTACAAGCTAGCATTCAGGGAGAGTGGATGGCGGAAAAAGATTAGCTGGAAAATTATCAAACTTTAACTAGATTTTTTAAGTTTTAAAATAATGTTCTCAAAATGTGTATTTGGTTAGACCCAAATTGTTTTAAAAAGAGGCCTACTTGAATGATAAGTGCAAAATGCTTGCTTATTAATCTTTTAGGACTTGAGTAGAGAATCATTGTTTGAATCTCAGGCAAAGCATATGCCGTTCAGTATTGACTTTAATCCAGGGGACCTCACACACTTTTAGGAAAGGTGACTAGGTCTCTTTAGAAAGGTGAGTCTCTATAATTAAACTAAGCAAGAGCAAGCCCATAAATTCCAGTCACTTACATGACTTTCTGAGCAACATATTTCAGGGTATTAAAATTCGTAGACTCAAGTTCTCCCTTTTGCCAAAGCTGTATCTCTTTTATCTTGGGAGATAAAAAAAAAAATTAAAAGAATGTCATCCCTCGAGAATTAACTCTTCATTTATATTAAAGCTATAAATCACCAGCCACCAACCACTGACTGAAATTAATGATCCCTGTTCCTACGCCATTTCCACTTAACTTCCAATTCTCCAGGATGTGCGGGGTGGAAAGAAGGAGGCAGAACTCTGCTTTTGGTTTACAAAGTGTAGTGATTAAAATTCTCACTCTTGCTCTCTAATCAGATTTTACACACACACACACACACACACACACACACACACACACCATAGAGGAGCTGAGATTTTGAAACTTTTTTATGTCTTTTATTCCCAAAACTTTGTTCAAGGTTCATTTATTAAGCACCTACTATGTTTTCTAGGTACTATTTTCATGTTAGTAGGCTTGATTTTTCACTTTTGGGGTTTCACTTCACAAAATACTTCAAACAACCTACCCCCAACTACCCCTGTCAAATATTTACATACATATATACATACATATGCACATACATTTGTATCCAGCAGCTAAAACCTTCTGGTTCCCCATCTTCCTCCCGACGGCCGTCACCAGGAAGGGCTCCCAGTAACCCTATCGGCATATTTCAAATGGGGATGATTAATTCAAGAGATCCCAGAGGGCTTTCAATCCAGTCTAAATTCCATACTTTGCACTGCCACCTCCAAACATCTACTCAGGATCCTAAAGCTTTGGGCTGGTCTAGAGTCCTCACTGTCCACACAATGTCCACAATGCTGTTCTGGTTCAGTCCCTTCATCGTCTACAGGGATCTCCTAACAGGAGAGTTTCGAATCATAATTAAATTTCTTCATTCCTCACATCTTTCCATTTCCATTAATCCTGGCATGGAGCAGGCTGCTCAGGCATGGGACTGACCCAGAGCTGAGCCTGAGCAGTTACCCTGTCTGCTGACACTCTCTCGAATACGGGAACTGCTTTGAAGGATTCTCTCACTATAGGAAAGATGGCATCGCTATACCCATTATGACTCTCTTTCTAGGTTAGTCTTGATAACTAAATTATTTTTAGGAGCAAACAGGTTTATATGGGAGCCACCTAGTATCTATACTCACCATGAATTTTTAGTGGAATAGAGCCACATTATTTCATTGATGTCACTGTTTAACATCAGATTGATTCGATGGTTTGACGTCAAATTTTCCTCACTGCCATCTCCTCGAGTGTATCAGACTGCAGTACATGTTAAACCGAACAGAACACTGTTTGCAAATCCAGCAAAGAAATCTGGAAGAGGGGTAGCACCCTGTAAGTTTTATTATGATACATGTTTATATCTAACTATGAAAAACAAGGTCATGGACAGTCAGATTTTTCATCTCCATTTTAAATGTCAGAGTGTCTGTAAAATAACATATTTGTAGGCTTTTCTTTTAAAAGACAAAAAGATTTGGATTAAAAGACAAGAAGATTTTCTTTTAAGAGACAAAAAAAGGGGGGGAGCATCTTAAAGTCCTAAAAGTTTAAAGAGTAGAATTCTGCATTCTTTGGATGTCAAGGAAGAAACAATTTGTTTCTAAATGATGGAATAGTTACTCCGAGGTAAATTATTCCACAGTTTCTTCAGCTACTGGTACTGGTTTTTATCTCTTTGTACTATCAGCTTTGCAAACGTCAGGCCAACAATCGCAGAGGTTGTGAGAACCCCATCAGGGGAAATCAATCCTAGTCAGGCTAAAGAAACTTGCATCTGCATTTCTTCCAAGCTGAATCACAAACAGTCCCCACCCATCATGATCCCTCTTCAAATAATTTCTTCATTTACCTGTGTGGCACTTCCTGAAAGTAAGGAATGGGCTTGACTGGATGAGCTATTATCTCCTTGAGATTTGTGAAGAACCCAAACAGACTGGAATGCTTTTCCTGACCCTCCCACCACCTCCCCTCCCCATTCCTGGTACCCTGGCCACTGTTTGCCTTTTCTCAGTTTCTGTGTTGCTCAAGGCAGATAGATAAGCCCTGTAAGTGATTACCACCACCCTGCATTAGCCTTCAAAGCCACTGACAATTTTTCCACATTTGGTAACTGATTTGTGATAGAAGTGTTGACAATGTAAAGTGATAACTAAATCACAGACCAGAACTTCTCAGAATAAATGGAAAAATCACCCAAAGGCTCTCTGGAAACCGTTTCCCAAGGATTTCACCCACAGATCTGTTCAAAGGGCATGGGTGAATTGTAAGGCAAGATCTATTTTTATTGTTTTTTTTTTTTTTTAATCAGCAGAAATACAAAGAACAGTGGTGTTCAATACGATAGTTTTAAAATGAATTTCATTTTTCCACTTTATGTTTTCCGATCATCTAGAAGAAAATCATATAATTTCCGAATTTGGGATGCTAGAAGAATGACAAACTTTGATTCTCATTTCCATACATAATGAGCGTGTATACAGATCAGCCTTGCCTTCCTGCCACAGGCACTCACGCTGCTCAGCGTTCATTTGTGATCGTGTAGCTGGAGGTACAAGGATGCAGCCAGAGTTCTCTCTATAGCACAAGGACAGGTAGGTATTACATTTCAGCTCGAGAGACAAACAGAAATAATAAAGGCAGGAGAGTTGGCTAAATATTTGCTTCCCTTCAGAGCACTGCTACGTTTACTTCTGCTGTTGATTGAAGGCCGGCTGTTGAACAAAGCCCTGCCGTCACCCGGCAGAAACCATGGTGTCTGACTAAACTGAAGCGACGCCCAGTGCCTTGTCCCACGCTGTCCCACGCTGTCCCACGCTGTCCCACGCTGTCCCACATTGTCTTGGGTGCCTAGAAAGAATACTTCCAATGACGAACCCTCAGAAATGTCGTTCCGAGGGTAATTTGGAGTGGACAGCTGTTCTCTGACTGACCTTTTCCTTCTGAGGACACCAGACTAAGTTAAGAATGCCTCCACAAATAAGGCCAAGGGAAGGACAGAAATGCTCTTGCTTCACCATATTCAAAACCCAGCGACGGGGGCAGCAAAGTAGAGAGGGACCTTGGTTTCCTCTGCACACGGGCTGCCCAGTGGCAGCCTGCAGTGCCATGTCAGTTTAAAAGGGCAGCGCTCACTCCTCTGACTCTTTCCACACCCACTAGGTGCCCTGTTCAAGGTGAAGGCAATACAGTAGTGGGGAGTAAGACATGATAAAGGAAACCATGTAGCACAATTTTGGATCATAAAGGAAACAAACAAACAAAGAACAGGATAGAGAAACAGGGCAGAGAGAGGCGGTGAATGGAGAGGAGATGCTCTGTCAGGTGCAGGGAGCACTAGCCGTGCAAGGGGCGGAAGAGCAATCCCTGCAGAGCCCAGCAAATGCACAGGCCATGAGGTCAGATAGGACAGAAGGTGCTCAAAACTCAGCACTGAGGAAAACGTCATTTGGTGGTGTTTTGAGGACTGAGTTTCTAACCCATATCTAAGAAACAAAGACACAAAAGTCTATAATAAACAAGTACAAGTCAACTAAATTTATTTGTTTGTTTATTTGTTTACTTATTGTTAATCCTCCCCCGAGGAAACTTTCCCATTGATTTTGAGAGAGAATGGAAGAGAAGGAGGGAGAGAGACAGAGAAACATGGACGTGAGAGAGACATATCTTTTTTTTATTTTTTTTTATTCTCACCCGAGGTCATTTCTTTTTTTATTTTGTTCAGATAGAGTGGAAGGGAGAGGGAGAGAGAAACATCAACATGAAAGGGACACATTGAGTGGTTGCCACCCACACGACCCAACCAGGGCTGGGGACAAACTGCAACCGAGGTATGTGCCCTTAGCGGGAACCGAACCCGGGTCTCTCTGGACGGCAGGCCGACGCTCTAACCACTGTGCCAATCCGGCCAGGGCTAGAGAGAGAGAGACATATCATTTGATTGCCTCCCCTAAGGCCGTGGATGAACCTGCAACCCAGGTACTTGCCCTTGACCAGGAATCAAACCTGTGACTCTTTGGTCCACAGGCCGACACTCTAACAGCTCAGCCAAACTGGACAGGGAAATGCAAGTGTGTGTGTGTGTGTGTGTGTGTGTGTGTTTAATCAATCTGTTACTTTGGATATTTTCTGGAGAGAACACTTTATTATTCTCTTTTTTTTTTTCAGGGACTAAATATAATATTTGACTTTTTAATTTTTACTTTTTTTATTTTGAGTGCTCAGGGAACGCTGTGATGAGACCTGACATTTCCACTATTGATTTAGATTTTTTTCTCAAACATAGCCCCTGAAAGCATGTTTGTTGTAAGCTATATACCAGTCCCCCTGGTGAATCTTTTCGTACTTTATCTTTCTTAGAGAAGCTTCTCCTGGCAACACCTAGATGTTGATTTAAACTGACCCATGAATGGCAACAACTCAAATCCCTATGGCACAGGGTGGACTGTGCCCAGGGCTTTGACCAGGACTCTGCAGGAGTCTCCTGAGCTAGCACTCTAATTAGGCAGGTTTACCTGATGCCAGACGACAGAGCTCTTCACAAAGGAGGACCACCTTGTTTGTGTGATGGGCAAGCACGGCACTGTTGGAGACCATCACGCTCTGGACAGTGTTAGAGGGACAGCAGGGTAGGATCCTCGGCATCTCTGTATCACCCCCATCCAAGTCTGCATCGCCCCCCCAAGTTTTTGTCTATATGTAGGATCAAATAGGCTTTCTTCTGCTTGATTGATTTTGATTTTTCAGTACATAATAACAAACAATAGCCAAACAATCAATTGGATCACTGAGTAGTCAATCCAGTTTGATCACCATGATCACATCTGGTTATTTTACTCATTTTAATGACCAAACAGAATCAACCATGAAGAAATTTGGGCTCCTTAGCAATCAGTTAATCTCATAAACTTCTAAACAAGACTCTGATGAAAAGCAGTCAAGTTGGGATTGTATATATAGGTATGGCTTATATGATGAGCAAAACACAAATTTATATAAAAAAAAAATACCAGAAATCTATTTTTTTCATTGCATCATTGAAATATATCAACCTGTACTATATTCAAATTTAATTCTCTCATGCTTAGATAATCATTCATGACTTTCAGCTTGTGTTTCTGAAAAATTTTACATGAACCAAATTTTTGAAAATCTAATCGTATTTTAAATACATGAACAGAACTTACTAAATTATCAATCTGTTTATAATCAATAAAGTCCCCTTAAACATGTGTCTAGTGTATATATTAATTTCATCTAACAGGTTTTGCTTAATAGTGAGGTTTTGTTGCAAAATTCTGTTTCCCATACAATTTGTAGCAATTTTTAGTAAACTTAAATTTGTGGTCACACATTTCTGAAAAAAAGAAAAAAAAAAGACAGTCATGTTTCTCTATTGAAAAGAAGTAAAGAGGGAAAGCTTGTTTTTTCCTAATCCAATAAGCTGGAAGCAGGGGGGGGGGGTGTAAATATGAGTTCTCTAACATGCGTATTTCCTTTTGTGAGGGTTCTGACTGCAAGATGATGGAAAAGAACATATTCAGGAGCATTGCTGGAGACAGCGTTTTTGTTCAACGGCTCTGTCGGGTAAACATGACTGCCCCTCTTTCTCATTCCCATAACCTTCTTGCTGTCCACCTAAACCCTTCTGACGTCCCATCTCCAGATTACCTGGAGCTTTTGCTCAAATCTCCCAGAACCCCGTCCCTCTCCTTTCTCCACTTCCACAACCATCTGCCTCTTGTCGCCCTATGTGAAGAAGCCTTTTAAAAAACATGTATTTTATACCAAATAGACCGATGGGTCCTTGGAGGGGGAGTATTCAGTATCTATACTCATGTAATTCAGTTGTACACTACAGTCCCACTTAGGTTTATTCGTCTCACCGAAGGGAACATCACAGATTCCGAAGCCATGAGGCAGGGAAGAGTCAGCACCGTGAGCAGCATTTAAAGAGCAAAAGTCTGAAATGAATAAATAGAAAACGTGGACAATCTTAGTCGCTGAGAATATGAGCGGTAAGAAAGAAGGAAATCTAGTTTCTATTTTGCGTTTCGTTTCACACTCAGGGCCCTTCGCCGCGTCGGACCTGCCTGGGGCTCTGCACCCCGAGTTCTCGGGATGGGCTGAGCCGGACTTTCCGAATCACCGTGGACACACCTCCTTTCCCACATCCTGCCAGAGAAAGGGCATCTAACAAGCAATTGTGAACCGTACACTCTAAAATGCTTATTGCTAAACGCTCACTATTAGACTTAATGCCGGTCAACTTTAAAAACTATCAGCAGTCTCTGAATTAATACATTGTAACATTA